CGTCATATTTGTGTACCGTTACACCCCTAGTGTATATATATATATATATATATATATATATATATATGTGTGTGTGTGTGTGTGTGTGGGTGTATATATATATATATATATATATATATATATATGCTCAGAGGGTTTCGAATACAATGGCTTAGAAAGTGATTTAATTTGACTCCTTTCGCTTATCTTACTGCTGTAATCAATCTCTCTAAAATGTGTGACCCTGGAGCACTTAAGTCACTTGGGTATATTTGTAGCAATAGCCAAAAATATATTGTATGGGTCAAAATTATAGATTTTTCTTTTATGCCAAAAATCATTAGGATATTAAGTAAAGATCATGTTCCATGAAGATATTTTGTAAATTCCCTACCGTAAATATATCAAAACTTAATTTTTGATTAGTAATATGCTTTGCTAAGAACTTCATTTGGACATCTTTAAAGATGATTTTCTCAATATTTAGATTTTTTTGCAGCCTCAGATTCCAGATTTTCAAATAGTTGTATCTCGGCCAAATATTGTCCTATCCTAACAAACCATACATCAATGGAAAGCTTATTTATTCAGCTTTCAGACGATGTATAAATCTCAATTTCGAAAAATTGACCCTTATGACTGGTTTTGTGGTCCAGGGTCACATTTGTTCTTCTTTTGGAAAGTTGTGGAAATGCTATCATGAATTTTTTTTTTCTATTAGAACAAAATGAGGACCACTATAGACAATTTCTAGACTATGACAATTTCTGCTAAAGCTATTTAGCTCCTGCATGTTTTTTTGGTTAACGCTGTTGCACACGTATGAACGTAAATCCACACCGTTGTACTCTTTTCTAATGAAGCGCTCCAGACTGCCCAGAATCTGCTCCCTCTTCTGCTGCTCGATGAGAGACGGCGATAACTCACCTACAAACACAAACACATCGCAACTCAACCTGAAGTAAATGTAAGGGGAAATCCAAATAAATGCACTCAAGCTGCTAAGTGGCAAGGACATTTTCTCTGATTGGGATGATTCGGGTGTGCTGGCATATTAAAAGGAACAGTTCACCCAAAAATCACTGATTTAAAAAAACAAACAAATCAGGCAACACCAAATGAATCCCCTTGGCTGTTGGCTGTAATTTTGTGTTGCCTGATATGCTTTTTTGGACTCAGTGATGACAGCCATTGACGCACATTGTATGAATCAACAAGGACCATTGTTTCAGACAAAACTCTTCTTTACTGTTCTACTGAATAAAAAAGTCAGCTGCATCTTGGATGGCCTGAGGGTGAGTAAACTAACAGAAAATGTTCATTTTTGAGTGAACTATCCCTTTAAATATGGATGATGGTGCAGTATGGTATAGCACTCACGGTAACACAGCATGCAGAGTCTGTCCAGGATCTCTCTGAAGAGTATGGTCATGGGCGGTAGAGGTCTCAGCTCAACCTTCTTGAAGTCTTCAGGGCACTCGTCTTTAAGGTGGCCGTCTCGCTTACAGATGCTGCACACAACCGTTGGTGGCTGTGAAGCAAAACAACCAGCAGACCCTTAACTTCTGGTTAACAGCACCAAATTATTTACCATAATAACACATGTGATGCACATGTGTGCCATAGTATAAACCATATATAATACATAAAATATAAAAAAATGACTCCAGACGACTGAATTATTGGATTCCATGCCTATTCCACCCTCTCTTAGAATCAAAGAGTCAATTTTTTTTTGCTGCTGTGCCTTTAGACCTTTTTTTATCGTGATCGATCTTGAAGCGGCACAACTGTTTTCAACATTGATAATAATCAGAAATGTTTCTTGAGCAGCAAATCAGCATATTAGAATGATTTCTGAAGGATCATGTGAAACTGAAGACTGGAGTAATGATGCTAAAAATGCAGCTTTGCATCACAGGAATAAATTACAGTTTATAATATATTCAAATAGAAAACAGTTATTTTAAATAATAATATTATTGTAATAATATTTCACAATATTACTGTTTTTACTGTATTTTGGATCAAATAAATGCAGCCTTGGTGAGCATAAAAAAAACAAACATTTAAAGTTTTGGGTCAGTAAGTTTTTTTGTTTTTTTTTACTTCTGCCATTGCATATGAAATTATCAAATAAGGATTTCTTAAAATCCAGACGAATTTGCCAATGAATCATTCAGACCATTTTCACTGATTCACTGAAAAGAACTGACTCATGAAAACAATTCACTGGCATAGGAGCTTGTTTTACTCCACATAAACTATACACAAGATCAATATCCACCTGTTTTTAAAGCCAAACACAACTAGAAATGTATATTCACTATTGAAAATCCCATTACCTTTCCAAACCTGGTAAACTGATTTTAAAAGAAAACATTTTGCACAGTCAAGCACCACAAATATTACAGTACCCTGTGCAATTACCTTTCCTCCAGTGAAGATCATCCTGTCAAAGACATAGTGCATATCTTCTGGTGCAATACTGTTCCATTTCTCCATGTCTTGCTCTTTATCCTCCTCCTCGTCGCTGTCCATCAGCAGGCCGTTGAGGGCGGAAGGAGACGTGGCTGTGGAGGGTTCCTGGGAAACCGCCTCAGATCTGGCATCCATCCCACCGTCGCTCACCAGGAGCTCGGTGAACCCCGCTCTCAGGCTCTCCTCTTCCTCCATATCCCTCTCATCCTCCTCATCACTGCTGTCTCCGTCCTCCTCGCCGCTCTTCTCCACCTCTCCCCGGTTCTTCCGGTCCAGGCTGCGGGATCGGGCCGTGCGAGAACGTCTGGGTTTCTTCCTCAGTAAGCCACGGCTGGCGTTTGCTCCGTTCCTGCTCTGCGGACAGGCAAAATACTTGTAGGCCATGCGGAAGCGCTCCTGGATGTATTCAAACACCATCTGACTGTTCAGACTGCGAGCCACATTCCTCTTCAATGCAAACGGATCTGAAACACATGATTGAGTCATTTACAAGTGCTTTCATACTGCAGTTGAAGCTCCTTTTCTTATTTCATCTTAATGCGACAAACAAAGTGCACTTAAAAACAGATGAAAGTGTAAAACACTGTGCTGTTTGATATTGTTTATCAGTATCGGTTGATACTGGATATTGAATTGTGTTAATTTTTAGATTACCTGTGCAATCATCGAACACTCATCTCCGGTTAATCCAGTGGTTCTCAACCTTTTTTTCCACCGGGCCGCACTATGGTCCAAGTGCAAGTCTCGCGGGCCGCATGCATACCGCATGCATATCATTTACATATTACGTCAGCAATACAAACCAACCGGATTTATAATATTATAGCCTAAATATTATGATATCTAATCGATTACATTCATTGAAATATATAAATAATTCTACTCCCCATAAATAACACCCAATTTTGTGAAATTCGGCTCGAAAGGAGTAACAGCACAATTATAGGCGGAGTTTCACTTTTATGCGTGGGGGGGCACCCACTGGCAGACGAGCCACGAGCACTTTTTTATATGTTCTACATTTCATGTATTTATGTAACACATATTCTACATTAAAAAAAATTAATTTAGAATGAACAATAACTGCTGTACAGAGTAAAAAAAACAACAAAAAAAACATACCTAATGCAGAAAAGCCGTCTCTTTTTCCGAATTGCGTAGATGACCAATATTGGGTTGAGAACCACTGGGTTAATCAGTAACACCTTGCAATAAGACTTCATATGAGCTAACAATGAACAATACTTAATTATTTAATTATATTAATGTTACAAAAATGCATTTATTAATGCATTTTTTAAATCAAAAGTTGTATCTGTTAACATGAGCTAATAAACAAACAACTGTATTTTATATATACACTAAAATTAACATTAACAATCTTTTTAGTAACATTTTACATTAGTTTTTACCATTCAGGTTGTTTGTTAAGTGTGTATATATATATATATATATATATATATATGTGTGTGTGTGTGTGTGTGTGTGTGTGTGTGTGACCCTGTA